TGATGAAACTCTGATCGATGCTTTGAGAGATCTTCTTTAGGTCCGCATCAATACTATTCTTCTTGGCGATTTTAACCTCCATGTTGACTGGAGCTTCCTTAGTGGGTTGAACTCAACCTTGCACCTCTCTTGCCCTCCCAGTCCCTGATTTTCAGAATGCAGACTTTGCTGGTCTCAATGACTTTTTATTCCACACAGATTGGTGGGAAGTTTTTGACCAATATTCTTCGATGGATAATATTTATCATAGATTCTGCCATGTTATCTATACTGGTCTCTCGGCTTTCGTTCCCTTCGAGTTCCCTAGGAACCCTGGCCGTATGTATCCTTCTCATATTAACAATTTACTGCAGCAAAAGCAGCGTCTTTTTCATGAGCTGAGTTACCCTTTGAACCGTTCCCTCTACAAAAAAGTTTGTTCCGACTTGGACTACCACTTGAGAAAGTTTCTATCTAACTATGAATGTCGTCTTGGAACTCAGGCTTCCCTACAACGAGTTTTCCGATACTACCGATACAAGCTGAAGTCTTACACGTTTTCCTCTGCTCTAGTCGATGAAGTTGGAGTAGTATATCGTAGTGATGTGGAGAGACCGAGGCCCTTGCTAAGTATTTCTCAAGTGTCTACTCATCAGAGTTTGCAGATGGTTGGCACCTGAATAACGTTCCGTATGTCAGTGAAAGTTGCTCCGAATGCAACTTCCATCCATATAGTGTCTCTGCTATCCTCAAAAAACTGCATCCTTCCACTATCGAACCTTAAGATGGGATTCCACAGTTAACGTACAAGAAATGCCATACTTCCCTTTCTAAGCCCTTAACGATTATGTTCAATCTCTCTTTCCTCTCGGGTGATCTTCCCCAACTGTGGAGGGTTGGCATTGTAACTGCTATTCAGAAGTCGCCCAATTCTAATTTGCTTGGCAATTTCCGTCCAATTAGTCTTACACCGACTCCTATCAAAGTAATGGAAAAAATAGTGAATGAAAGATTACTAGCCTGGCTCTCAAGATATCACCTCATTCCTTCAGAACAACACGGCTTCGTTCCCAGATCCTCAACCACCTCTAATCTTTCCGATACATTATTTAACCTTTGCAAAGCTCTTAATTCAGGCAAGTCAGTTGACATGGTCTACTTCGACTTGTCCAAAGCGTTTGACAATGTCTCCCACGTTAAACTGCTAGCCAAACTGGAGAAAATTGGTCTTCGTGGCAAACTTTTAGCTTGGTTAAAATCCTACTTACACAACAGATATTTTACGATCAGACTTAAATGTGGTTTCTCGAATAGGTTTCCCTGTCTGAGTGGTGTTCCGCAGGGGGTGTTTTGTCACCTACTCTATTTCTGATTTACACAATGGAGTTACCTAATCTTCTCAAGACATCCTCGGATATCCATATACAAATGTATGCCGATGATATCAAGATATATGCGATCTACAGTCAGGATAATTGTGGGATTATTCGAGACGCTATGAGGATATCTCTTCAAAGAATGGCTGACTGGGCTGAACCCTGGGGCATTCCTCTCAATTTGAACAAATCTATAACCATGCATTTTGGCGACTACCAGGCAACTGCCTACCTCGTAAATGGTGTTCAGCTTGCAGCTTGCCAATCCATCAAAGATCTTGGCGTATTTTTTGATTCAAAATTAAAGTTTTCCCTTCACATTGAGCAAGCGGTTGAGGAAGCGTTTAGGAACTTATTCGTCTTGTTTCGTAATGTGCAGTCTTCTGATGTGACACTGCTAAAACGCCTTTACCAAGCTAACGTCTTGCCGCATGTCGAATATTGCTCACAGGTTTGGAGCCCATCTACCAAGAAAAGTGTCTCAAAAATTGAAAGGGTTTAGCGTGTTTTCACACGTCTCCTATGGTATAGAAATGCTTGCTATCATAGTCGTAATCATTTACCTAGTTATGATGCACGACTCAGGTTGTTTGGGCTTCATTCTCTGCAATATAGACGTGCAATCTCTCAGTTTTTTTGTTTTCGTATTCTGCGCTGTGAGTTGAAGCTAAGTGCCAGCAAGTGCTGGATCTTTAGACCCACTGGTACGAGGCGAGGTAGGTTTAATCTTTACTGTTCAATTTCGGATGCCAGATACCGTGCGCTAGCCGTTAATAATATCTTTAACCGATGCGCTAGTTGGTTTGATCTGTTGCCTCTTGATGTTGTAGCGGCTAGTAATAGTACCACGTTCAAAAGAAGGTTGCAAAAGGTGAATCTTGGCCAAGTTCTCGGAATTGCCCAGTAATGATTTTCAGCTCCTCTTTTTCAGTTTCCTACCTACTGATGGGTCATGTTGTTTCAACAGTAGCGCTCGAAAGTATTCGGCCAAATGCTTCTTCGCTCTAACTTTTCAGTCATAACTCCTTTCCTACTCGATCTAACCGAGCGAAATTTCAATATGTGTAGCATTGGTGCAGAGTGAATATTTACCACTATTAATCTGCAATCTGATCATGATCCAGATATCCAAAATGGCTTGAACAAAAATCAACTGAGAATACGAATGATGGTCCTTCTAGGAGTCCTTTCTTTTTTGCCATGTCTTAAGTTACGAGCGCTAATGTCGAACTCAGAAGAGAAGAAAAACGTNAAACGTGCTTTCAGCACAGTCTACAAACGCCTCCCCACTATTATGTGGATATGGCTGTTTTGCAGTAAAGTAGTGTTGGACAGTGTAAAATATGCTTCAGCTGAACATATCAAAATTTCATGTGATTTGCTGCACTGGGAAAAAAGTTACGGCAAGTTAAAGTTGGCCGAATACTTTTGAGCGCTACTGTACGTCTCAGAGACTTGGATTCTACAAAAGCAGGATGAGCATGCTGTCAGCTTTACTCAACGCGCTCTAAAAAGGACGATGCTCCTAATTTGCCAATACACGCAAGTTCAGAAGGGAATCCGGACTTCCGAGCTCAGTCAACAAACGATGATCAAGGATGCCGTTGATTACTCCAAGTATATCAGGTGAGCCGAGCACGTCATGCGATATAGTGATGACCGTTGGAACAAGGCTATTACGGAGTGGATGTAGGGACTTCATCGGGATGTCAAACGAACACCAAGACGGCTACCAGCGTCATGTTCAGACTTCTTCACGAAAGCTCTGAATGACAGCAATGTTTTGCCCCAAGTCTATCGAGCGGGTACGATTCGCTGGACTACTTTGGCTCGTGGCAGGGACGAACGACGACGTTACTGGCGCGCACTCGAAGGAATTGATGATCAACGGGAGGACAGATGATGCAGGTGAAGCTAATTTTACCTTGACAATTTTTCTACATTACTGCTTAAGCAAATGCAACTTCAACAATTATTGTTCGTTTGTGCAAAGTACCTCTGCCCAGGCTTGTTTGCATTGTATATCCTATATGTAAATGAGTATCGCAACCATAAAAACTTTCAAAGATGCCTACATAATTAAGTGCCTTCCAATAATCTCTTTTCGATTCGCGAACGAGGACATGGAAATAAAAAATATTCAATTGGAAAGCCTTCCAAGAACTCTTCGAAGCTGTAGGAAGTTCTAAAAAAGAGCAAAAAAATATGGGCCCATTGAGGATCATCAGTCCACGACCTCTTTTCAACGGAACTTCGGCTCTGCTTTTGCTATCGAATCGTACAAGAACCTCATCCCCTCGCTTTCCTGAAGTGTCCTCTCATATATGCAGTTGACTGAACTAATATTAAGTCGCTAACATACATGACGTATCGTATTCTTTTGAGTTTTGAGAACTGGAGGAACACGAAGGATTTTTTTTACTTCTCTCGAGAAAATAATTGCGCTTCTGAGAGCAAGACACCTCCGGACAATTGCACTTTGAAGGGAAACTCAGAGAAATTGTAGTGACAACTGTTTCATTCACCGGTTAAAAATTCAACTGAGCAAGAAGTGCTATGCACAATTTTCCGGAATCTCAAGACTCACTGCTGAGAAGTGATGAAATCATAAAGGAAATGGAACCGGTGTCTTCGTAGACATTCTTTGCTAGATTGCCATGTTTTTCAGTAGACTTCTTGGCGCTTTGAATTAGATCTGGAAAGCGTCCAACCTCGATTTATCCATTTCAGAGTGGAAGCAATAGAGATGACTACATATCGCAACCACTTACACTCACCGCCTAGCCACTAACTCCTAATAATTAGGTATGGTGCAGTCGATCTGGTTGAGTTTTCTCTTCCGTCACTACCCTCAAGGTGTCCCGCTTCTTTCATGTTTCTCATCAACAGTGTCACGAATACGTGCGCCTTTTTATCATCATCAGGCCACGGCGGTTACTGACCGAATCCTTCGGGACATCCATCGAAGCCTAGGACGGCCGCCAACGAGATGGTAAGACTTTTTTACGAAAGCACTGAACGAAGGGAATCTTGGACTTCGTGTCCCTGGAACGACGACGATCCACTGGACCACTCTGGCTCGTGACTAGAATGAAATCTCAAGGTGGCTTTCTTGAAAGGCACCCCGAGATTTGTAATGAACGGTCGTAAGGTGACTTTCTTGAAAGGCACCTTACGACCGTCCATTACATCTCTTCAAAAGTATGCTAGAATGTTTGTCACCCATGCTCAAACTCCATTTAAACACGTTCTTTATTCAAAATTTACAATTCATAAAAAGGCTAATTAATGTTCAAGAACAAACGAAGTGGAACTTGAAAGTAAGTAACCTCTTGAACGAGGAACCATGTACACTGAAATCATCTGGTTTCTATAAATCAAAAATATCACAGATAATTAAGTCCACTGGGTTGGCCGAGAAAGGATGTGAGGGCGAACCCCGATTGATGAGGATGATCGCCAACGATTTGGCACGAGTTAGGCGTATTGCACATGAGAAATATGGGGCTACATTCGTCTAATTTGAGCATGCCTAATATCATTGCATTAGACAATCGTATAGTAAGATCGGGACGGTGATGGGACTTGAAATGGGTCGATTTGAATCAATTACTAATTCGTTTCCTTATTTTTTCGTTTTCAATACGTAAGATATATAAGCAAAGATGGAGACCGAAGCTGATGCGAACACCAGACAGCTAACGGTTGGCACATTTGATGATGGCTAGCACATTTTGCAGTGATAATTGAGGAAAATGAGGCAGACGGCAAATCCGCCAACGGACAGCGGGAT